CTCTATGCTGGCAGCTTAGATCCTGGAGCCTGCTTTGGGTTCTGTGTCTCCCTCTCTCTCTCTCTGACCCTCTCTCTCTCTCTCAAAAATAAATAAACATTAAAAATAAAAAAAACAATATTTAATTTTTTTTTCAACGTTTTTTTTTGTTGTTGTTTATTTTTGGGACAGAGAGAGACAGAGCATGAACGGGGGAGGGGCAGAGAGAGAGGGAGACACAGAATCGGAAACAGGCTCCAGGCTCTGAGCCATCAGCCCAGAGCCCGACGTGGGGCTCAAACCCACGGACCGCGAGATCGTGACCTGGCTGAAGTCGGACGCTTAACCGACTGCGCCACCCAGGCGCCCCCAAAAAAAACAATATTAACATGCATCTGTTTCCAGTCATTTGTACAGAAAATGTGCTTTGGAGACCTTCATTTTTAGATTCCAGTGAATTGGAAAAAATAAAGATTCCAGTGAACTGGGTATTATCCAATACACAGAACCAACAAAATATGAAATGTGCACACAGGATCTCCCTGCCAGAATAGTAAAGGAACCTGCTGCCTTACGCATACAGATCTTCCTCTACTCACAATGGGTCGTGATAAACCCATCGTAAGTTAAAAATATCCTAAGTCGAAAATGCATTTAATACATCTCACTTACAGAACATCGTAGCTTAGCCTAGCCCACCTTAAATGTGCTCAGAACACTTACGTTAGCCTACAGTCGGGCAAAATCATCTTAACACGGAGTCTGTTTTATAATGACGCATTGAATATTTCATGTAACTTATTGAATACTGTCCTGAAAGTGAAAAACAGAGTGGTTGCATGGGTACAGCATGGTTGTCGCTGTATTGGCTCTTTTTGTTTGTTTGTTGTTTTTTGTTTTGTTTTGTTTTGTTTTTTGCTGTATTGGCTCTTTACCCGTGTGGTCGCTGGCTGGCTGGCAGCTGCAGCTTCTTGTTGCCGCCCGGGACCACGAGAGAGGATCAGAACGTATATCCCCGGCCCAGGAAAAGATCAAAGTTCAAAATTTGAGGTACAGTTTGTACTGAATGCATATCGCTTTCATACCATCATAGAGTCAAAAAATCAAACCATCATCAATGTGAGACCATCTGTATGGACCCTGGACTATAAATGGGACCACAATTAAAGCTCAGCACTCAAAACGGAGCCATGCCTTCATCCTTCCTGTAACATACATACCTGAGGGAGACAAGGTTTGTTTCATAATAGCATCTTGGTTTTCATTTTTTTCAAGGTAGATATACTTTATTTATACAGTAAACATGCAGAAATGTGTTCTTGCACATGTTTTTTGAAACCTGACTCCCTGTTTATCTATACACACCTTTTTTTTAACCCATTTTTTAACAGAGACATGAGCACACAATCTATTCCACTCTTCTCTTTTTTATAAGAAAGAAAAAGTGCATGTGATGGCAAATGATTCATATCCTTGGTGCTGAGGAACAATAGGGAGTGGTGGGGACCAGGGCAAATGGCAGACCACTTTCTTAACTGAAAGTAGCAGCCCCTTTTCAATGCCAGTCAACTGTTGGCACAGGGAATTCAGGCCCCGTGTTGACAGGTTTTCCAAAAATTTAAAAAGAAGCCAGAAATCTAGACTTTAATGTAAAATCACTTAATTATCAGGTGCCTGGGTGGCTCCGTCATTAAGCACCTGACTTTGGCTCAGATCGGATCTCACCGTATGTAAGCTCGAGTCCCACATAGGTGAGCTCAAGTCCCGCTTCCGGCAAGCTTGAGTCCTCCTTGGGTGATCCCTACTTCTCTCTATCTTTCTCTCCCTCTCTCTCTCTCTCTTCCCTTCCTGTGATTCTCTCTCTCTCCCTTGCTTACTTGTGCCCTTTCTCTCTCTATATAAAAAAATAAAATAAATAAAATCACTTAATTATCAAACATTTCCAACTAATTTAATTTTGAGCTTGTCACCAGACAGGCCAAACAAAACCTGTGGGCCAAATTGAGCCAATGGCCACCAGTTCACAACTTCTGGTTTTAACAGTCAAATAGAACGAGCCATAGACCTATTACACAATTGTAGTTGATGTGGCTCTTTCTAAGCAATGTAGAAATATATTCTAAGTTTGAGGCCTAAGAAAGTCAATTATATTTCCAGTTGATGTGATACTTTATAAGCAATAGAGAAATATAGAACTAAGAGACCAAATTCCCTATGGTTAGTGATTCATACTAAAATAAGAATGGCTGCACGTGGGAGAGAATTCATATTCACAGAGAATATGAACCGATGAAGAAAGAAGACTGAAGCAGACAATTTTGTTAGAATGTGCTTTGGCTCGTGAGTTAATTCCACGTGGGGCCATCCTAGCTCTATGGCTGCTTTGGCTGCTGGTGCCTCAGCCTCTTGAAGGCTGGGTTTGGGGTTTCGCCTCTCTTGCAGACATGCCCCTTGCCAGAATCTCGCCACCATCAATTATAGATGCTAACATTCAGTGAGCATTATCGTGCACCAGACACTGATAACTGCTTTGCATCCCAGGAACATATCCATCCTTCCAAGAGCTGGTAGGAAAAACTCATTGTCACCTTCGTCTTACAGATTTGCCCACATTTCATATAGCTCATAAAGAATGGAGCCAGGATTCGCCAGGCAGCATGATCCCAGAGTACCAGTTCATAATTCCTACCTTCTCAGGGACCTCTTGTTTGTTAAGAGGTGTATCTCTCTTGTGACAGGTAATTCACCACCTTTAAGGATCTTCTGCAACATTTCAAGACCTTACCCATTTTCTCCTTCTCTTATGTGTCTCTGCCCTTACCTCTGACTTGGTAAATTGCATGGCCTTTCTGAGCCTCAGTTTCTCCATCAATAAAATGGGGACAGGAGGGAGATGGCTGGATCAGGTTTCGCAGGGCTCTGTCCATTGTAAATGTTCTGGGATTCCACAACCCTCAGGAAATACCCATGATTTCAAGTCCACATGCACACACCCATCAGCTGGTTTGTCATTGAAGGTCTTGACTCTGTAACACTTCCCTGCCCACCAGTACCCTCTGCAACCCAGGAAATTTTTATCCATTTATTGCTTGAGAGTGCATCTCTCTGAATACTGCCTTCCCCTTCCTCCAATGTATCCCCCTCAAACTCTCCTCAGACCCAGAGCCGGGGTGAACTTCACTCTCCTCTTGAAGCCTCTCCAGCTTTCTCCAGGACGTGCTGCTCTCTTCCTGTTCTGATGACTGTTCACATTAGTCCCAGATCTGTAGATATGTGCAGCATTTACAAGCGACAGAGCACTGTGGTGTGCAAGTTGCATATCGAGAGACCCACAGCCCAAGTCAGGATCATCGTGTCTACTATACAGATGAAGAAATAAAAAAAAAAATCAGAAAATGTCAGGATTTGCCCAACTTTACTCTGTAGCCCAGACAAGAACTGGACTGGAAACAAGCTCCTGACCTCGGGCTGGAGCTCTTTCAGAGCCCTCACTGCCCATGCAGGCATTAACCCTGTCATGCCGGAGTGCTGCGCATCTCCAGTGGGTCTAACCCTCTGTTCTCGTGCAGGTAGGTGACTGAGTGGTGGAGAGCATGGGTATCGGCAACTGTCACGCATAGGTTGGGCATGTTTTAAGCCTCGGCTTCCTCATCCATGAAATGAGGATCATTGCAGTACTGCCTTTCCAGGGTTGTAGTGTGGATTAAATGAGGTAACACAGGTATAGGCATTTTCTGCTTTCCAAAAGTTCCCATTTTGCCACTTCGGTTTTACAGAAGACCCATGGGAATACCTGTTCTCAGTAACTGAAAGAAATCTGAAGAGCAATTTCACTGTTGCAGAAAAAAGGAGCAAAGCGAAAATAGCGTTCAGTGTTTTGGGCAAGCTGTTAAAGATGTGGCAAGCACCCCAAGAGTGTGATGGGCCCCAGGAGACATCTCAGCATCAAGCCGCTGCAGCTTTCAGCTGTAGCTTTCGACTGTGTCTGTGAGCATCTGTGCGTTATCTCGAGTTATTTTGGGCATCATTAGCAAGATGTGTCCTAAGATTTCAGAAAAACCTGGGGCGCCTGGGTGGCGCGGTCGGTTAAGCGTCCGACTTCAGCCAGGTCACGATCTCGCGGTCCGTGAGTTCGAGCCCCGCGTCAGGCTCTGGGCTGATGGCCTGGAGCCTGTTTCTGATTCTGTGTCTCCCTCTCTCTCTGCCCCTCCCCCGTTCATGCTCTGTCTCTCTCTGTCCCAAAAATAAATAAAAACGTTGAAAAAAAAATTAAAAAAAAAAAGATTTCAGAAAAACCTAAGAGGGGTAATTTTTGGGGGTCTGAGAATGCTAAAACTTTTTTCCATATAAATTAATGGTAATTGCTTCTTCACTCTACACTGCTTTGGCTCATGAAAGATTTCATAGGCCCACTGTACTTTCTGATAGTGGGCGGAAACTGTAAAGCATTTAGCGCAGGGTCTGGGAAATAATCAGCACTCAATAAATGTTAGCTAGTATACCCATCCCCTCCTATCTCTGGGGGCCTAACTCGGATTACTAGAAATAAAAACCAGGAGCTGACAACAGAGCCATGGCCCACGGTGGCTCCTTGGTGCGTCAGGAAGAACCATTGCTGGGGCTTGCTAGGCTTCGGAACTGTGCCTCCATGGTGCCTCCTCCCACCCCAAAACCTTACTCTGTGGTGCCTGGTAATCATAATAAAGAGCCACCGTGGGGGGGGGGGGGGGGGTTGGCCAGTGCCAGACCCTGTGCTAAGCCCTGTCCCCGTGGGATAGTCACACATACCAGGGATGGCTGAGACTGCTTCCCCTCTCCCACATCATCATCGTGCCTGGAGAGGTGTCTCACCTCAGACTCTCACCTTCAGGCACCCAATGTTTATTTGCATTTCTACCACCAGGTATTGTTTTAGCCAGCTAACAAAACAAATGTATCTTCTTGCCCTCCTGAAACTTACATTCCCATGCTGGGAGTAGGGGGGTGGGGCAGGCAAGTTATACAGCGGAAAACCTTGGAAATATCAGATACGTTCAATTTTTTATTAGGGTTATCTTTGCGGCATGGATTTGTATATATCACGGGGCCATTTCTGGGCATTCACGTGGGGTTCGTGTGTCAGGCGTGCAGGGTAGGCACAGCAGTTAGGAGCTCAGTCCTTCTGTGTGCCCTTGTATATTCTCCCGGCCTCTCTGAGCCTCAGTTTCTTCATTTGTCATTTAAGGAAATCACAGTGACTCCAGCCTCCCTGGGCTGTTGAGAGAATTCCATTGGTCCACGAAAGGAGAGTGCTTTGGCCGCGGGGCAGCTCAGACCGGGACAGACGTTAGGGCGGGAGGGAACGGAGTCCCGCTGACCCAGACGGGCGCGGGCACGGGGCTTTTCTCGAAGGTTACATAAGGCGGCCCGGGGTGGCGGCCGCGGCCGGGAGCGCGCGTCCGTCGAAGGGGGAAAGGGGCGTGGGGACGGCAGCGGCGGCCGGGACCCCCGGGGCGTGAGTGCGGCGCCGCCGGCCTAGGTGGGCGCGGCGCGGGGCGGGGGCGCGGGGAGGGGGGTGCTGCGTTGGGTTTCAGAGCGCGGGTGACTCAGGGCGCGGGCCGGGAGCCGGGAGCCTGCCCGCCGCCGCCGCCGCTGCCCAGCGCCGCCTTTGTTCGCTGCAGGAAGGGCGAGCGGCGGCCAGCGCTCAGCCGGGCGCACAGTGCCTTCGGGGGACTCGGCTGGCCTGCGAGATGGCGCCAAGGTAGGACTCGCTTCCCCGCGCCCCGGGCCCTCGCCCCTCCCGCCCGCCTCACCTTCTCGCCACCCACTTCTTGCAGGAGGAACGGACGGTGGTGGCCCCTGCTGTTGCTGCTTTCGGTCTCCGCGCTTCTCCCCTCTGTCACCCGGACCCGCTCCGCGACAGGTAAGCGACCCGGCCCGGGGGTGGCCCCGGCTGCCTCCGCGCGCCCCGGGGAAGTTGGTTTTTGGCGGCGGGCGTGCCTGCGGTGCGCGCTCATTCCTGGACATAAAAGGGAGTCCTCGCCGCTCTGTGCGCACTGGCGCTCCCGGCGCCGCTTCCCCGGGCGGTGAAGGGGATGCGAGGGGCGAACCGGGGTCCCTGACCCGTCGGGCGGGTGGCGCGCGATCTGGACGCTGTGCAGCTAGGGCGCGGCCCCTGCAGTCGTGGGCACAGAGGGACTTTGGAAGTACGGGGCAGCGCCAGCGGCTCCGAGGGGACAGTTAGCTCTAGCTCACCCGGAGCCCGCACGCCGGTCCTGCGTGCCGGCTGGCTCATTGTAAGGACAGGTCTGGTGCCCGCTCTGCACACAGGTGCGGCCACGTGATCGCTAGCAGAGACACCTGGCGCCTTTGCCGCGCAAGAAATAACGGGACTGAATCGCCTCGATGCCTAACTTACCCCTGAGTTAGCTGAAGGAGTCCCATCCATGGTGGGCAGTGGCGCCCAGGGTGGTGAGAAGAACTACCGGCGGGGAGCCAGGGGATCTGGTCCCCTTCTGTTCCACAAGCCTCACTTTCCTCACTAGGACCCAGAGCAGGGTGGATGACTAGTAGGGTCTGAGTTAAAACAGATTTTGGTTAAGTTGTGTTCAGGCTGCCTGGGCTTGAAGCGTGGCTGAGTTAGGTGACCTTGGGCAATGGATTTCACCTCTTCGTGCCTCAGTTTACTCACCCCAAAAAACGGGAATAATTAGACCACCTTTCCTCATAGGGATGCTGTGAAGATTAAACGAGGTATTAGAGGTAATACGCTTTCTACACTGTGGCACATACTAGGCACAAAATAAGCGATAGAAACTATGGGTTGGTCCTTGCAATAGCTGTTAGAAAGCAATGCAGGCAGTTTTTACAGAGGACACTGAGGATGAGGGAGGCTTAGGAAATGGCCTGTCCAAAAGGCAGGACTGGAGCCCGGATCCTAGGCTCCTGTCCTTCCACCCTCAGCCCTTTCTCCATGCCGAGTTTGCAGAACTGTGTTCTCCAAAGGGTCCCACCCCTCCTGGATTTAGGAGATCAGTACACAGCCTGGACAAAATACGTGTCTGAGGAGAAGGGGCAGCAACCTCTCTCCCTTTGAAGGACACTGAGGATTGAGGGGGTGGCCTGGGTTAACTCTTTGTATGCCAGAGAAAGCCTGGGACAACCTAGACCATTGTCTCTTTGGCCTCTGGCCACTTTTCCCACCGGAACATCCAGGCTGGCATTTCTTGTAGATCAGAGGGCAGAGGGAGCACAGTTCTGGCTTCTCAGCGCCATGCCCCATGTCGAAACGCTGCACTTTCCCATGTGATATAGGGCACTGCCAGCTCAGCGGTAGAGGGCGGCCTGTGTTTCATGGGCTTTCGTGAATTTTGCTGCAACCCCTGCCTCCAAAAGGAAGAAGATTCTGGGCAAAGAGACTGGTGTTTCTTTCTCCTCCTGTGTTTGAAGGCTCTCCTTGATGTCAAGTCAGTTGTTAGAAACAACATAGAGGAAGCCCTGTTCCCATCGAAAGCGTTAAAACGGAGTGGCAGGAAACCGCCAGGAGCTGGAAAGGGCCACGAGAGGGCCATCTGCAACTGATGGGTATTCAGTGTCCCTCTGGGCCTCTGCAGAAACTCTTAGACATGTAAGATATCCTCCTGCAAGCCCAGTTTTGCACGCCGTTTAATAAGGCCAACACTTATAAGCAAACCACTTTATATGCCCAGGCAGAGGTGTGGGCATGTCCGGGTTACATTCATCCAATCCTCAAAAGTGCTCCAGGAGTCAGGGACTGGGACTGTTATCTTTGTGCTCCAGATAAGGAAACCGAGGTCCAAAGTCTCAAGGCTTCCCAACTCTAGAGGGTTTTTCCTGGCCTGCCCTGTTTGAAGAGATCCTCGTCAATGGGACCCTATCCCCTATACCGATCCTCGTGCCCCTCATGTGTCATGGATGAGCTAGTAAAGTTACAGTGTCATTGGAACACCTGCTATTTTAGCAGATAAGAAGGTGGTTTTAGGGGACAAGGGCAGCGGTTTCACAAGTTATTTGTTCCTGTTAATAAAATCCCGATATGTGCAAATTAGTTACTTTTCTTTATACTGTTTTATTGTGAAATATAATATCCATTCAGAAAAGTGCACACAAAAATTACAGCCCAAGTGTTTATCACAGAGCAAACAGCCACATAACCCAGGTCAAGAATAGGAGAGCCCCAGAAGCTTGTGCCCCTTGGATGTGACTGTTCCCTCCTTGCCCTCAGAGGTAACCATCACCTTGACTTTTATGGTGATTGCTTCCTTATTCTTTAGAAATAACTTTAGTACCTAAGCATGTATCCCCAGATTCTACAGTTCCACTTGAATTTGAACTTTATTTGGCTTATTTCACTGCATATTCATGGCTTATTTCACTGCATATTCAGTTTTCAGATTTGTCTATACTGTTGTATGTGGCTGTAGTTAATTCATCTTTGTTGCTGTATAATTTTCTACTGTATTAACATACTGTACATCATCTATTCATTTGTCTCCAGTATTTGGGTTGTTTCCATTTCGGCAGAGACAGTGGTGGGTTTGCGAACATTCTTGTACATGTCTCAGGGATGTGCACATATCCCTGTTGGTTCTGTGTCTTGGAGTGGGGTGCTGGGTAACAGGGTGTGTTCATCCTTCAACTGAACAGACAGTGCCAGACCATCTTACACTATGGTGGTACTGAGGTGCGTGGTCACCCACTGGGTATAAGAGTCCCCATTTCTTCAAATCCTCAACAGCACTTGATCTTGTCACTGGGCTGAATTTCAGCCCTTCTAATGAGTACATAGGAGAATCTTACTGTAGTCTTTTTAAAAAAAAATTTTTTATTTCAGTTCCACTTATTTATTTTGAGGTAGAGAGAGAGAGCATGTGGGAGGGGCAGAGAGAGAAGGTGAGAGAGAGAATCCCAAGCAGGCTCCACACCGTCAGCACAGAGCCCAGTGTGGAGCTTGAACTCATGAACCACAAGATCATGACCTGAGCCGAAATCAAAAGTCAGATAAAAGTCAACTGAGCCACCCAGATACCCCTTACTATAGTCTTAATTTATGTTTTCCTGATATTTAAGTTGATTACCTTTTCATATATTTATCGGACATCTGGTTATCCTGGTTGACTTTTTTATTGAGGTAAAATTCACATAACAAAACTAGCCATTTTCACGTGTACAATTCAGTGGCAGTCGGTCCATTCAAACTGTTGTACAGCTGTCACTTCTGTCTGGTACCAAAGCATGTTCATCTCTCCAAAGAGTGAAAAACATTATTTCCATGAAGTGGTCACTCCCCATGGCCCCCATCCTCATCCTACTAGCCCCTGGGAACCACTAAACTGCTCTCTGTCTCTATGGATTTACCTATTCTGGATCTTTCATATAAATGGCATGATAAAGTATGTGCCTTTTGTGTCTGGCTTCTTGCACTTAGCTTAATGTTTTTGAGATTCGTTCATTTTGTAGCAAGTGTCAGTACTTCATTCCTTTTAATGGCTGAGTAATATTCCACTGAATAGATATACTACAATTTGTTTATCCATTCTTTCATTGATGGGGACGTTGATTTGTTTCCTCCTTTTAGCTCTTGTGAATAGTGCTGTTATGAACATTTGATACAAGTATTTGAGTACTTCTTTTCATTAATTTGGGTATATATACTTAGCAGAACTGCTGGGTCACAGGGTAATTACATGCTTAGATTTTTTTTTTTTTTAAGAAATTCCCAAACTCCTTTCCACAGTGGCTGTACCACTTCACATTCCCACCAGCAGTGTACAAAGGCTCTGATTTTTTTCACATCCTTGCCAACACTTTTTATAATTACAGTCATCTTAGTGGGTATGAAGTGGTCCCTCATTGTTTTGATTTGCATTTCCCTGATGACTAATGATATTGAGCATCTTTTCATGTGCTTTTTGGCCATTTGTAAATCTTCTTTGGGGCAAATCTGAATGCTAATCAGAGCCAGTTTGGGTTTTTCCTCAGATCATCTCACTCTTGCTCATGGCCGTCTGATATGCTTTCCTGAAGGAGAGCAAAGTGGGTAGGAATCACACCTGAGACCCCCCATCTCTGGCCTCTGCCTTACCTGTGCCCTGGCCTATAGTGAGCTACTGTTGCTGACGTGCCATTAGAAATTACAATGAATATAAATGATTATAGTGTTTTAATTACTGGGTAAACTTGTTGGTTTTGTATAAAGTGGGCAATTCCTGTAGTAACATCCTGTGCCGTGTGTGTGTTTTACAGCAGAGTGCAGGCTGAAAGCTCCTGGCACACTGAACCAGCCACAGCTTCCCATGCAGTGCTGGGATTTTGTAGTCTCTTCAGCTTTGCACATGATGTGAACTAATCTCCCTGTCTGGAGTACACTTTCTTACCTTCTGTCTCTCTTTAAGGCCTAATTCTACCTCCCAGCTTAAATGGCGCTCTGGAAGAGGCATCTCTCTGGCCAAGCTTTCTCATCACTGAACTCCCCATTCCCTCATCTCTCTCTTCCAGCACCAGCATTGTCCCCCTGTACTGTCAGTATGTTTATTTCTCTCTCTTTACCATGGGAGCACCTTGAGGGTGTGGGTCATGCCTCATTTGTCCACGGTTGGCCACTTGGACTTTGGCTCTTTTGTCATTATTATAAACAGAGCTGCTGGGACCATCTTCTGACAAATGATCTTTGTTTTCTTTTTAGATTATTATTATTATTTTTGACTAGATTACCCCAGACTTACTTTCCCATCAAAGAGCAGAAGTAGTTGCACGTTTCTTACATATTTAGATAGATCTCTCTTAGATACAAATTTAATCATTTTCCTTCCTCCTTTAATTGCTCTCACTGGATTCTCACTCTACATAAGATGGGGGTCATGCTCCTTGCTGCAGAGGGCCCTTTGTGGCTTCCCGGTCTCCAGCCACACAGAGCCCCTCTTAACTTGGGCTCACTCCAAACCACCGGTAGCTTGCAGAATGAGACATGTGATGTCGCCTCTGCATCTCTGCATAGGCTGGTCACTCTTTGAGAGAATGCCTTTCTTCCTGTCCACCTGGCAACCCCCCATTCACCCTTTAAGCATCCTTTCTGGGAAGCCCTCCTCTGCCTGGCATGTTGGGTGTTTTTCCTTTGGGCTGACACTGTTTATCCACTCGTCCCTTGGTCCCAGGGCTTCTCAGACCGGACCGTGACCACTGATGATTCGTTTGCCTCCCATGCTACATGGGAAGCTCCAAGAGGCAGGGCTAGGTCTTTCCAACTCTGAATCCCAGAATGCCTGAGCGAGCATTCAGAAAACCCTTTCAGTGAATCAAAGAGGGAGTGAATGGGTAGGTCCAGGTCATGGTCTGGAGAGAACGCTCCAATTTACCATATCATCTGTGGATTGTCATTCGTCTCGATTCTTCCACAGCTCTGCCAACTCTGGGGTGACCATGGCTGAGTAATGAGGGTGCATTATGGGGCTTTTAGGTTTTTCTCCTTTAGTGACTTTAATAAGTAGTTAGGAATTTATGCTAATGTTACTTTGCTCTTTATTTTCTTTTCATTACATCTAATTGCATAAACAATTTGTTTTCCTGTTTATCCCCACTCATCTTATTCCTAGTGGCCTCCATTTTGTCCAGAGTTGTACACTTATCTTTTCTCTGCTAGCTAAATATATGAGTTTGTTTTCAAGGTTTCCTTTAATGTCTATAGCTTGACCTACTTAAAACGGACCATAAATTAGGTAAATTACATAGATTACATAGGGTATAATCTGAAGTCAGTTGTTTTTTTTTTTTTCCTTTCAAAATGGTACTCAGGATTCTCCAAAACACTAATTAAGATGTGAGCTATTAACCAATTATCATGTTGCTTCTGGTTGCCGTCATATACGTTTGTTTCTTTAATGGTCAAAAATTTTTTCTCAAACCTCTACTTTGGTCACTTCCCTGTACCTATGCATGTGCGTGTTTTTTAAATCCCACATGGTCTTCATGATCATTGCTTTAAAAAATATTTATTTTGTGGGCAGGGGTAAAGAGAGAGAGAGAGAGAGAGAGAGAGAGAGAGAGAGAGAGAGAAAATCCCAAGCAGGTTCTGCTGTCAGTGTGGAGCCCAACAAACTGTGAGATCATGACCTGAGCTGAGTCAAGAGTCGGAGGCTCCACCGACCTAGCCATCCAGGAGCCCTGATCATTGTTGCTTCGTAATATATTTTAAAACCGGGTAAGGGAAGTCACCCCTGTCTCGTTCATTAAGCCATACATTTTTTAGTACAGACTGATTTATCACCCAGGTTTTTCATGATATGATTGGATACTGGGAGTGTTGGCGAGGTGGTGAGCAGGTGAGGGTTATCAAAGAGGAAGAAATCTTACAGTGAGATTCAGTTGAAGATGCTAATGTGCAGTAAGGAGAATGGATGGCAAATAAGGCTTCAAAGTCAGAGCAGCAGATCATGGGGCCTGAGCTGC